TGTATTCATTCATCCGTTTTATGTTATTTTCTTACTGAATATGCCACTGCACGCTATAGTCCAATGCACACATTAATGATAAGTTTGACCTGAAGAAAGAGGCATTATTTTCACACATCACATCTGATGTAGTTGTTTTTGTTCTCATAACTTGGGTAGGCATTTGTATAAACACACTAAGCAAAGTTTGAAAATATATTTACTTTCGAAACAGGAGCGGAACCAGTGCCATGGGGTTCTCGGATTGTTGGAACACCAGCAGGAAAATCACCAACTATGTATTTACGTCTTCCCAAGGAGGCCGTATGCATGACACCTTTGCATAAATAGAGCCTTTTTTAACATTTTGATAAACACTTTCATGTGCGCTGCTTCAGCACATAATTTTGCATCATATATGACACCCTTTCAGATTGGAGTGTTTAATGAGTGGCAAAGAAATATACTATCGTCCTCTTGATTGACTAAAATGCCCATGCACTAAAGGCTACAGATAACGTTATACTTTATTTTAGTTGATAGTGGTGTTGAGAAATGGCAGCCAATCTCTAATCGAAATTAAAAATGGCACGTGTTATCGTAATAATCAAGACTGGGGCTCTCCCTGCCAAATGGATGAAGGTAAGCAGAACATTGATGAAGCTCCCCTCTTCCACACACCGCTTCCATCATTCAATCATTTGTGTATTACAATAGGTGAACCCTCTTGTGTGATTAGCTAAGGGCATCAACTCTTTATTCGGTACCTCAACAACGTGAATCACTGCACGTCGATTCGGTGTAAAAGCAGTAGTAGAGACTGCACAATATTCGTGTGCCTATGCAAAGGCTAAGAAACCCGATCGTTCGTAACTATATGGGAACATTGCATGTGATTTTAGGAAGTGCCAACATCACTCTGAATGACGTATCCCAACAGGAGGCATTACTAATATGGGATGGATCTTCATTCACTTCTACAGTATTCTTCGTGCCAAATTGTACTTTTCAGACACCACAGCAAGGTGAGTTGATAGACCTGGAGAAGTGTGTGCGAACCTCTGCAAGATAAACGCTTGTTTGAAGAGTGCAAATTTACAGCCACTTTCCTTGGCAAGCAGCATTTCCATTAATATTTGGTGTCTCTGTGGTGCTTGACTCCTTCAATCACTTAACGGTTGGAAGTGAATTTGGAAAGTGTAATCACGAAGTGTTTTGCCTACAGGTACAGTCAATTTACAGACGTCGTTTCCACTTTCTCGATTTGGGAAAGGGCGATCGTATATCGAAGTCGCATTTGCTGCTCAAGGTGCAAACAACCAAACTGGGGTACGTGAAGCTTTCTCAGACTTGATGGTAGCACAGTGCTCTTTATTTCTCACAATGTTCGCGTAGCTCCCTTCTTCTCTTGCCCATGATTTCGTGGTCGCAATTCTCTCCCTTCTTCCTCATTACAACGCAGGCTTCAATTGAAGTGAACGGCCGAGTTGCGTGTAGATGGACAGGGACTACTCTCGTTGCACATGACTCACCTTTCTGCCGTGAGTTTGCTGCGCTTCCAGTCAAGTCATTTGCCGTGCTCATGAATGCAACTGATGTGCCAATTGCACTCTCTTTCACTCATTTAAGGTAACATGACGAATGACACAGGATCAGATCTGAGAACATTTGTCCTGAACATTACTCGAAATGACGCTACTAATTATACCACAATTGAATGGTCCGCCTTGACTACAGTATTAGTAGTTAATATTGACTGGACGCAAGAGGGTGAGTGGACATCCCCACTGACTGACGGCACTACCATCTTTCATTGCAATGAATATCTTGGCTAATACCACCCCACGATGAGACAATCCACAAGAGATTAACTGTACAGTGGACTTGAGTAACACACGTTTCTATCGAAGTAACCGAAAATATTGCATTGCTTTAGGTGAATCGCCAGAAATAGCGGAATGCAGCAGTGAGTTCAAGCACATAGCTATTCTACAGCAGACCAAATGTCACACAGCACCACGTGCTCTAATATGAGGTTCTACTCCTACTTATGTGAATAACATTAGAGTGCTGTGACTGCAATATGTCCTAGTTACTATGAATATATGACAATAATTTACTCGACGTAACTTTCAGGATATCGGGGTGAAACGAGTGAGTGAATTGAAATGCATTATCATCGCATTTGCATGCAGAGGTAGTGAAAATGTTTGCGGTTCCGGAAGTCACCTTTTGCATCCTATTGTGCCGTATTCTTGAATACTTAAATTTGTGCTGCATGTATGCTGTGTTCAAGCCTACATTGAGTCCTCATCCCTCTCTGTCCAATACACATTGTCCCTGTTCCCACCCAAGGCATGTAACTTAGAACGCAGTCTACAAATCCACCTATTGCATTTAACGTACATACAGAGTAAATGAACTATCATAATATGAATTCCGGCACACTCCGCTTTGCTTTTGAAACCGCCAACAATATGTAGCATAGGTGTATGAGAAGAATAAGGGAATGAGTGGCACGTCTATTGAAATTCAAAGCAATAGCACTGCACAAATCCTGGCACGATGAAGGGACAGCAGCATCGTCTTCTTCCCTATTACATAGTCAACTTTATTATTTTGCTAGCACTGCGATTGACAGTTTTGGTAGTGCCTTTCGTCAGACCTCCTCGCACCAGCATTCACACAAGTATTTGCGTTTGCTTTATAAAATATTCGCATCGCATCGACGGTAGGTAACAAAAGGAGCAGTTTTAATGTGAGACCAACTTAATAAACACTTGGACTGTTAGGCTGCTAAAACTGCGCCAATCTGAAACATGACTACTCCCTGTGTGAATTCGGCAAGTGCACATTAGGTATCCAGGCATTTCATGAAATGCAGTTATCTTCTATCTGGACTTATTCTCATTTTGATACTTTGTGCAGCCACAACCTCTGCCGGTGAGTTGGCAAAGCTACCATTTGCATCACTTTCTCCACCTCGACACATTTAGTTAAACCGTCAAATTAAGTTTGCCTATTATGATGCAATACATTTTCAATTTCTTTGGTGCTTCCACCTCCCAGAACCTGGAGTGACGTCCACTTCCACGAGTGAGTTAAAGCACTACAATATACTCACTATGCCCAAAGCTATGGAAACTGTGTAACTGCTGTGAATGTTGTACATAAAAATACTTTCTCTTCATTTTAATTTGGATAGTACACATTAGGCAGCCAAGCATTACATGAATATGCCATTGCATTCATTCTACCATTATTCTTATTTTGATAATTTTACGTAGCCACGACCT